TATTTTTATAATTTAGAGGGAACTCACCTTTTACTTAAAAATTAAACATGATTCTATTTTCTCAGCTTAGTGTATTCAGAACTCTTCCCTTTTGCAGAAAAATTTCTTAACCATGTGTTTCTGAAAATCATGATTCTTAGTCCAAATCTTCACTAGGTCAGGAGTCAACAATGATAGAGAAACAGAGAAATATATCATTGATTTATTTACAAATGATTTACCAGCTATCAGGCTTCTGTGCTGAAAAGGCTGTATAAAATTGAGTACCTTACATGGAAAGTGAGACTTTTAGTTATATAGGGAAATCCATGCGAGTTAGACTTTTAGTTCGACTCATGGGTTCCTTGCAACATGTACGTTAAACAACTGTAGAGGACTGTGTAGAAATTGCACTGCCAAGTCTATAAACCCGTGACAAGCTGATGGAGTAATAATCCTCTCTGAGCTAGCACAGCGAACGCTCAGTTAACTGCATTTGGTAATGTCTCTCCTCTGTTTTACGACAGCCCAGGCTAACTTCCCTTGGCCACCAAACTCTTGAGGGTTTCCTGTCTTCCTCTCTGCTATTTTAACAGCAGTTTTAAGACTCCAAGTTAATTCATCGCTAAAAGAAAACCTTAAAAAGGTAGTTCTCTTGGAGCTAAAAAAAAATATTAGTAATTATCACACAAGGCTAGTGTTAACAATTTTTTCCTACCACAGCTTCTTTCCATTAATGGTAGACAAAGGGCAATTTAATACACCTTTCTTGGCTCTTACAAAACAACCTCTATCCAAGGACTTAAGCCAGAAGATATGGTTTTCCTCTTTTTATTAATTATAGAGAATATCTGACTATAAATGATTCAATTATATATCCACAGAAATGTTTAGAAAATTATTCGGAGAACCAGAATAAAAGAAAGGTGACTCTGATTGAAGTGGTGTATTAGTGACAGTAACCAATAGTTAGTTGAGTGATTACTAGGTGCCCAGCACTTTCTGAGCGTTCAATATGGATTATGTCACGTAGTCCTCCCAACAATGCTATAAAGTAGGGTTGCCA